TACTTCCGGGGTGAAGGATACCATCTTTCCCCGCACACAAACTTCATCGTTGTCTCGTTGATAATACCCGTTGGCATAGAATTCTCGCACAACAGTTTCAACCGCTGGGTTTTGCATGTCGGTGAGGTTTTGCCAGTTTCGCTATACGATGTTGTTTGCAATGTCGCCCTCTATGTCGAATTCTGGAGGCCTTAAACCCCTCTCCACTCTTATTGACTTGTTTTTTTCCATGAATTTCCAGAATTTGGCTTTTGCCGCCTCATTCACAAACTTTCCATCAATAAGACGGAGGCCAGATGAGCGAGAAGATGATGCTTTGCCTTTCCCACGTTTTTGAGACATGATTGTGCAGTTGTGATTGGTTTAGCAAATTATCGAACACTTGGCGGGCACCCTATTGATTTACTTAGACAATTCTACAAACCTTTGGCGTGCAACCACAGATTGTCAATTATTATCTAAATGAATCCAACCACTAGTTCCCAAATGCAATTAAAGTTTAAGCAACTCCTAATTAATTACAAAAAAATGCGTACCTTGGTCGGATTGTGTTGGAGCTTTAGAACCCTTGGAACACTTTTTAAAACTCCTCCAATTTTGTTGCACAAATTCCGGTGTCAGAGGCTCTACGGTAGCTGCCGGATGTGGCACAATGGTGGCTGGAGGTGTGATTGGAAGAGATATGAGTTGTGGTGGTTTGAGAGAGATGAGGGAGGGAGAGAGACGAGGGAAAGAAAAAATTTTGTAGAAGGAGAGATGAGGTAGGGGTTTCTGGAATGAAAAAAAAAAATTTTTTTTTTAACGGGGGCGCGTGGGCGCGCGCATGGAGTCGCGCGGGCGCGCGCCTCCTTCTGGAGTTTCAGGGGCGCGCGGGCGCGCGCCTGGAGTCGCGTGGGCGCGCGCCTTCTTCTGGAACTTCAGCGTTGGCGGTCGCGTGGGCGCGTCTCTGGAATCGCGCGGGTGCGCGCCTGCTTCTGGACTTTAGCATTGCGCGGGCGTGCGCCTGCTCCTGAACTCCTTATTCCTTCAAGATGACAATTGAAAAGATGAAGATAAAAGTAAACATAAAATAAATAAATAAAAGGCTTGGGTTGCCTCCCAAGAAGTGCTTGATTTAACGTCTCTAGCTAGACGTGTTGATGCTTCCACTCAATTTGGGTCCGCAAGAGAGATGCTAACAACTTTCCGCTCTTCTCCTCCATGGTAATGCTTCAACCTTTGCCCGTTCACGCGAAAAGTTTGCCCATCACCTCCTAGAAGTTCAACTGCACCAAAAGGGAATACTTGCTTGATTTCAAAGGGTCCGGACCATCTCGATCTCAATTTTCCCGTAAAGAGTTTCAACCGGGAATTGAAAAGCAATACTTTTTGCCCCGGAAAGAATTCTTTCCTTAAGATTTTCTGATCGTGCCACTTCTTGGTGCGCTCCTTATATAGCCTTGCATTCTCATAGGCCTCATTCCGAAATTCCTCAAGTTCATTTAGTTGGAGTAGGCGCTGTTCACCGGAAGCGTTCAAGTCAAAATTCAACTTCTTGATGGCCCAAAACGCTTTGTGCTCAAGCTCCACCGGTAGATGGCAAGGCTTCCCGAACACCAACCGATAGGGTGACATTCCGATTGGTGTTTTGAAAGCTGTCCTATACGCCCATAAGGCATCGTCCAGCTTTGTTGACCAATCCTTACGGTTAGAAACTTCCACTTGACCATTGGTTTGCGGATGGTAAGCTAGGGCGATCTTGTGCCTTACTCCATACTTGGCCAACAGTGCATTGAACACCTTGTTGCAAAAGTGCGTCCTTTCATCGCTTATGATAGCTCGGGGGGTACCGAACCTTGTGAAGATGTTCTTCTGCAAAAATTTCACAACCACCCGGGCTTCATTTGTTGGAGTGGCAATAGCTTCCACCCACTTAGAGACATAATCCACCGCCAAGAGAATGTAAAGCTGACCATATGAAGGCGGGAAAGGTCCCATGAAGTCAATACCCCAAACATCAAATATTTCCACTTCCATAATATTGCTCAAGGGCATTTCATGCCTTCTAGAGATGTTCCCCACACGTTGACAAGTGACAATCTCGAAACAAGGTTGGCCAATAAAAACCGGATTGAAGAACCTTTGCTGCTGTTCTTGTTGCACCAAAATGTCCACCATAGAGCGACGAGTGACAATGATGGAGAACATCATGTATCTCCTCTTCAGGAATGCACCTCCGAATAACTTGATCGGAGCATCTTTTGAACAATATTGGATCATCCCAAAGATAATATCTCACATCATGAATGAATTTCTTCTTTTGATAGGAACTCAAGTCCGGTGGTAATACCTCACAAGAAAGGTAGTTGACGAAATCTGCGAACCAAGGGAGCCTCACTTCAACCTCAAACAAGTGTTCATCCGGGAATGTTTCTTGAATAATGGGGGTTTCGTCCACTTCCAATTGCTTTAGCCTGGAGAGATGATCTGCAACCACGTTTTCTGAACCTCTCTTGTCTCGTATCTCGATGTCGAATTCTTGAAGCAAAAGAATCCAATGAATCAAGCGAGGCTTGGCATCTTTCTTCGCAAACAAGTAGCGAATTGCTGCATGATCCGTGAAAACTACCACCTTGGACCCAATGATGTAGGACCAAAATTTATCACAGGAAAATACCACCGCAAGCATCTCCTTCTCGGTGGTGGTGTAATTGAGTTGGGCCTCATTCAATGTCCTACTGGCATAGTAAATGGCTCGAAAAATCTTGTCTCTCCTTTGACCAAGAACTGCCCCAACGACATAATCACTAGCATCACCCATAATCTCAAATGGCTCATTCCAATCGGGTGCCACCATAACCGGAGCCGAAACTAGTTTCTCCTTGATAGCGTTGAAGGCTTCCAAACAAGACTCAGCAAAGTTGAAGACCGCATCCTTCTCTAGGAGGTTACACAATGGCTTGATAACCTTAGAGAAATCTTTTATGAACCTCCGATAGAATCCTGCATGACCAAGGAAACTCCAGACTCCCTTCACATTTATAGGTGGCGGAAGCTTTTCAATCACGGTTATCTTAGCCTTGTCAACCTCTATTCCCTGCGATGATATTCGATGTCCGAGAACGATCCCCTCTTGTACCATGAAATGGCACTTCTCCCAATTGAGAACTAAATTCTTCTCCTCACATCGTTGCAACACGAGAGAGAGATTGTGGAGGCAATGGTTGAATGTTGATCCGAAAACTGAAAAATCATCCATGAAAATCTCCATAATCTCTTCTACCATATCTGAGAAGATTGCCATCATGCACCTTTGAA